CAGGTTAAGCTGGTGAGAAGCGTAGCGCACAGCGAACGGCCACAGAAAATGGGGTGCACCGGCATGGACCATGGAGGTGCGAGCGACCTCCATGACCAAGCCGATGCGTCGCTCAGCGACCCCATTCTGCTGTGGGGAGTCCGGTAGGGTGAACGTCTGGGTGATGCCCTCCGCACAACAAAAGCGACCAAGGACACCTGAGGCAAACTCGCCACCACGGTCTGAGTGAAGACGCAAGACAGGGAGACCGCGGTGGACACGCGCAGAGACAAGCCAGGGGATGAGGGCGCCAGGCACGTCGGCCTTGCGCTCCAGGGGAAAGACTGTGGTGTAACGAGTAAAGTCGTCGACAAGCACAAGGAAGTAGCGCTCGCGACGCGGCCCAGGGACGGGGGCGGGGCCCCAGACGTCCAGGTGCAGGGTCTGCAGCGGCGCGGCGGTAGGGGGGAACGAGGAGGAGTGAGGGGCACGGCGAAGCCGACCCTCGACACAAGGCGTGCAAGGTGGAGCTGGGGAGGAGGGAAACGCGGGGAGTGAACCTGGGAGACCAAGGACAAGACCGTGCTGGGACATGTGACGCAGACGCGGGAGCGCAGGGTGACCTAGGCGGTGGTGCCACAGGAGGGTCGGGTGAGTGAGGGAGCGACAGGAGCAGGCAGCAGCAACCTGGGTAGACACAGCCACCTGAGGGGGCGCTCCAGCCGGGGGGGGGCACGGTGTCCAGAGTGAACAGGCCGGACACCGGGTCCCGGGGGAACGTGGACAGGGGGGCACCAGTGGCGGCCTCGGTACAGAGAGCATACCGCTCGTGACCAGGGAACGTAGTGGTGACGCCAAGGTCCTGGAGGCAGCCGACACCAACTAGGTTCCTGGAGAACGAGGGGATATGCAGACCTGTAAGAGAGCCCGAAGGAACCGCCGGACAGGGAAGGGTGGTGGAACTGCGGGCGACTACCGGGCCGCCGGAGGGGTCAGCAAGAGAAACGGCAGCAGGAACAGGAAGCGGCGTCAGGGTGGTGGAGTCGCGGAAGAAACACCGAGAGGCGCCAGAGTCCAAGGTGGAGGAAAGCGAAGCCGAGGGGTCTGGCGACGGAACGACGGCAGAAGCACCAAGACTACACAAAGCAGGGGATCCTACGCCTGACGCAGCAGGGGAGGCTAAGCTAGGCACACCTACACTAGGCAACAGTGAGTAATAAGTCGGAAGCACACTAGAGTCATCAGCATACATCACATGCAGAGCAGAAACAATGGCATCCATGTCCATATCAAAGATCTGAATCTGACGACTAAGCAAACTGTGCCAGTCCGGGAGGTCTGGCGACGGGCCGAAACGCTGACGAAAGAGGTCGTCCAGGCGACGAAAGCAGCGGGGAGTGGAGTGACCGATCTTACCGCAAACGAAAACGCGGCGAGGACCGGTCTGGATCTGGTACTGACAACGCCCGCCGGCAGAGCCACCACGCGGCACACCACCACGCGCCCGTCCACCGCCAGCGCCGGGCCACCCGGGCGGGAGAACACTCGTCTGCCGCGTCTGCGACGGCTGCTGCGGCTGCTGCGAAGGCTGCGACTGCGGCGGCTGCTGCGGCTGCTGCAACTGCAGGGGCGGCGACTCAGCTGGACTGGGCAGGGTCCCCTCGTCCGCTCCAGCACCAGGCGACCCGACGCCACCACTACCCCCGCCCGCACCCCCGCCGCCCCCTCCGCCGCGCCCAGCCTTGGGGCGGCGGCCCTTCCCAGAACGGGCCTGCGCTGCAGCAGCAGTCTCAGCCACTGCGGCAGAGCCGTCGGAGAAGGTACACTGAGCGGGGGCACAACCCTGAAAGATAGGGACCGGCACGACACCGCTCGCCTGGGCGATGGAGCGGTGACGGGTCTCTATCACAGTCAGGGTGTCGACAAAGTCAGTGAGGGTGAGGTCTGCGGGGTGAACACTAAGGAAGCGGTCGCGGGCGACAGCAAGGCGGTCAGGGAGGCGGGTGTCAAGCAGGTAGAGGGTAGAGGTAATGGGCGGCTGGTGGGCTCTAAGCTGTGCGTCAGTGCATGCGGCGCGCCAGGTCTCCTCTATCGAGCGCAGGTGGGCAGCGAGGTCAGAGACAGTGGGGAACGAAGCAAGGTCAGGAAAGAGCAGCGGGAGGATCAGGCGACCCACCGAGGCAGCCGGAGGGGTGGAATACCGCTTGATGACAGCATCTAAGTATGCCTGAGCAGTAGTGAGGGACCTAGAGCGAGGACGCTCGGACGGGGGGAGGGCGTTGCTAATGGCAAGCTGGGCGACAGCATCGCGAGAAAGCCAGACAGAGTGCGCACGGGCAGTGGCAGCAGTAGACTCACGCTCAGTGGGTGTGGGGTCAGCGGGCAGAATAGCAGGAGGGTCTGGGCAGGGGAGCGTACCGTCAAGGTGTGCGGAAAGCGGTTCACCATCCTGCCGCTGGCCAGTGAGTTGGCGGCGGAGGTCGGCAAGCCACGCCTCGAACTCTAGGGGCTGACCTTCAGCGTCGAAGCGAAGCTCCGCCGCCATCAGGAACAGTCCAGTGCTGTGCAGGGCGGTGCAGCTAGGTGGGGTGCGGTGCAGTGCGATACAGTGCGGTGCAGTGCGGTGCAGTGCGGTACTGTGCGGTACAGTGCGGTGCAGTGCGGTGCAGTGCGGTGCAGTGCGGTACAGTGCGGTGCAGTGCGGTGCAGGGCGGCACGGAGCAGGGCGGGGTGGGGGGGGGGGGGGGGGGGGGGAACCGTACCAGTGAGGAGGACGGGGCCGGGGCTGGCCCGACGGGGCCGGGCGGGCGCGACGGGGCCGGGCTGATGCGACAGGGCCGGGACGGGGCGACGGGGCCGAGCGGGCGCGACGGGGCCGGGCTGGGGCGACGGGGCCGGGCGAGTGCGGCAGGGCCGGGCCGGTGCGACGGGGCCGGGCGAGCGGGACGGCGGCCGGGCTGGTGCGACGGGGCCGGGCGGCTGTGACGGGGCCGGGCAGGGTGCGACGGGGCCGGGCGGGTGCGACGGGGCCGGGCGGCTGCGACGGGGCCGGGCGAGCGCGACGGGCCGGGCAGGGTGCGACGGCGCCGGGCGGGCGCGACGGGGCCGGGCGGCGGCGACGGCGCCGGGCGGGCGCGACGGGGCCGGGCGGCGGCGACGGGGTCGGGCGGGCGCGACGGCGCCGGTCGGGCACGACGGGGCCGGGCGGCGGCGACGGGTACGACGCGGCCGAGGAGGGGCGCTACGGGGCCTAGGAGGGGCACGACGGGGGGCCCAGGAGAGGCGCTACGAAGCCCAGGAGGGGCGCGACGAGGCCCAGGAGGGGCGCTACGGGGCCTGGGAGGGGCGCGACGGGGCCTGGGAGGGGCGCGACGGGGCCCAGGAGGGGCGCTACAGGGCCCAAGGAGGGCGCGACGGGGCCCAGGAAGGGCGCTACGGGGCCCAGGAGGGGCGCGACGGGGCCCAGGAGGGGCGCTACGGAGCCCAGGAGGGGCGCGAAAGAGCCCAGGAGGGGCGCTACGAGGCCTGGGAGGAGCGCGACGGGGCCCAGGAGGGGCGCTAGGGGGCCTGGGAGGAGCGCGACGGGGCCTGGGAGGGGCGCGACGGGGCCTGGGAGGGCGTTACAGGGCCCAGGAGGGGCGCTACGAAGCCCAGGAGGGGGCGCGACGAGGCCCAGGAGGGGCGCTACGGGGCCCAGGAGGGGCGCGACGGGGCGCTACGGGGCCTGGGAGGAGCGCGACGGGGCCCAGGAGGGGCGCTAGAGGGACTGGGAGGGGCGCGACGGGGCCTGGGAGGGGCGCGACGGGGCCTGGGAGGGCGGTACAGGGCCCAGGAGGGGCGCTACGAAGCCCAGGAGGGGCGCGACGAGGCCTAGGAGGGGCGCTACGGGGCCCAGGAGGGGCGCGACGGGGCGCTACGGGACCTGGGAGGAGCGCGACGGGGCCCAGGAGGGGCGCTAGTGGGCCTGGGAGGAGCGCGACGGGGCCTGGGAGGGGCGCGACGGGGCCTGGCAGGGGAGCTACGAAGCCCAGGAGGGGCGCGACGGGGCCTGGCAGGGGCGCTACGAAGCCCAGGAGGGGCGCTACGGGGCCTGGGAGGAGCGCGATGGGGCCCAGGAGGGGCGCTAGGGGGCCTGGGAGGAGCGCGACGGGGCCTGGGAGGAGCGCGACGGGGCCCAGGAGGGGCGCTAGGGGGCATGAGCGGAAGCGGTAGGTGGGGGGGGGGGATCCTACCTACGCGTGATACCATATCAGAATAATTGAATAAATGGTAAAGTGAGAGTACACACAAATATATCTAAGTTTTGTATCCTCTAAGAGGTGACTCTATACAGTCTATACAAACATGACAAATGCACATGTTTGACATTCTTAGGTATATCTTTCTGTACTCTCTCACTAGTCATCATTCACTACTCTTATTCTGATACTCTGCCTGACGCTTGTTGCCGCGATCACCCGTAATTTCACGGGCTTTTTTCTCGGGTTCCGAAATATTCGGAGTGTCGACGGGCGGATTTTCAGCACGATTGGCCGGGGTGCTAGGTGGGGCCATGGCTGCCTGGTTATGCATAAGGATATCGGCGAGAAGCTGGGAGGGTGCTTCTCCGCGAGGGAGAGTTTTCAACTTCGCCAGAGTGTCGGAGCGAAAAAAGCGGGATGGGAACTCAATTGAACTTGAGCTGGGAAAAAAGGAAAACGTGGGTGGAGGAAAAATAACCTCCAACCCCATTATATGGTTGGAGAAGGGCGAATAGCGCGCTTCGACGATGCCTGAGATTGCATTACAAGCAGCTTCGCATTCACAATACGCAATTTTGAAAGTGTGAACACTTAAAAAAATTACATTTTTAGCCACAAAAGTTATTTTGATTTCTGATGGTGTACCTCTAATTAAGTATACCAATGTACATCCGAGGGAAATGAGGTAGGACGGATTTTCCTGTTTCATACAACAATGCAACAATGAGCTCTTACATTACAACACCTGATTGGGATTGTTTCAGAATACTCCAAAACAGCCTTGCAATGAAATAGTAGAAGACAAAAGGGCAAAACACTTTATTAAGCAGGTTCCCAAGCTCGTCCAAGTGTGGCATCCTCATTCTTTAGACTTGAGGCGATGGCTTTTAGGGTCCTCTGTAGTCTAGGCACGTCAGCAATTACAGTGGAGTCACACGTCCCTTTGCTAAACAGCAAATAATACTTTATCGAGCATGCATAAGCGAGACTGTTGTAACACCGATTGGGGCAATTGTCAGGGCGTATTTCCAGGAGGTGCGATCTGACGGGCATGAAGATGAGGTTGGAGAGCGCTGCCCCATGGCCGCCCACAAAGAGACGAGCTCGGCGGAACAAAGCGCGTGCTGTGAATTTGGAGGGGAGGGGGGGGGGGGGGGGAGGGATCATGAAGAAGAGGTTGGAGAGCGCTGCCCCATGGCCGGCCACTAATTGACGAGCTCGACGGAAGAAAGCCCCCCTGCTGTGAAAAAGGGGAGATGGAGAAGGGGGGTCATGAAAATGAGATTGGAAAGAGTTGCCTGCTCCTTGGCCTCCCACATAGATCCGAGCCGAGATGCGTGCGCAAGAATCGTGCAGGCTGGCAGCTTGGGCTGCCTACAATTCCCTCTCATACCCACTCCCAGTCCACTCTATCCCTCCCCCAACCCTCTTCCAGCCTCCAGGTGCAGAGGCCCATCCACATGGCCAATTGCAGGGGCACACCATCTCGCTGCATCAATTTCTCTTCCAAAAGAATACTCACACCCACCTTGCACCGACAGCAACACAAGTACGGTCTCAGGTGGAAACACGGCCAGCATGACAACGTTCACCCCCTTAAAGTTGGTAAAGGAGCGCTCTAAAGTGGGGCACACCTTGCAGCAGCTGCAGCGAGCCATTGAACACCACAACCCTCTCCGGGGGAAACGTCGCCAGAACCGCCTCCTTAACCTCCTGAAAGTTGGAAATGGAGCGCTTTAAAGTGGGGCGGCGGGCCAGCACGACCACCCAGTCAGGCGGCAGGAGGATGAGCTGCTGGTAGGAGAGCGGCCGGCGCCAGTGGTAGGAGAAGTCCGGATTGAAAAGAGGCAGGCCCCGCGGGTGCAGCAGGTGGCGCCGCCGCAACTCCATCCAGAGAGCCTTGTTGGGCGCCCCACACTCCTGCAGCATGGGCTGGGGAAGGGGGAAGAGAGGTGGAAGAACACAGGGTCCGGCATGGAGAGGTGGCAGCAGATGGTGCCATTGCAACTCCATCCACAGAGCCTTGTTGGGTGCCCCACACTCCAGCAACATGGGCTGGGGAAGGGGGGGGGGGGGAGGAGAGAAGGGCATTGAAATCAAACGAGGCTCAAGCAAAGGGTGCCTCACAATCCCCCTGTACCATGGGTGAAGAATACTGAAGGAGATGCGGGTAAGAGAGTGCTGCAGGCATGGCAAAGCATGGCACGGCATAGAGAGGCATGGCATAGAGATGCATGGCATAGAAAGGCATGGCATAGAGAAGCATGGCATAGAGAGGCATGGCATAGAGAGGCATGGCATAGAGAGGCATGGCATAGAGAGGCATGGCATAGAGAGGCATGGCATAGAGAGGCATGGCATAGAGAAGCATGGCATAGAGAGGCATGGCATAGAGAGGCATGGCATAGAGAGGCATGGCATAGAGAGGCATGGCATAGAGAGCCATGGCATAGAGAGGCATGGCATAGAGAGCCATGGCAGGGCATGAAAGCACACAGACCAGGTTTGCAATGTCACAAGGCACGAGATTATTCCCCCCTATCGGCAAGCAGCAAGTATGCCAACATGCACCCATGGCGTCACCCGTCCATGTGACAGTGCAACGGGGTGCATGCTGGGGAAAATAGACGTATGTATACCCCCTGAGCTATCTTGGCAATCTATCAGTTCACCTTCTTTCAACTTCGAGGTTCTACCCACCCATCCATGGGCGAGCTGAAATGTTCACCCGGGGCATCATCCGTCTATCCACCTGGAAGTCCACCCACCTATCAAGCTATGTCAATGGTTTCCTCCCGGGGCATCGATCGTCCATCCATCCACCACTACCAATCCAACCACTCACCCACCTACCCACTTACACACACAAACCAGCACACCACGGTTCAAAATTTCGGCTGTGGAAACTTTCGGTTGGAAACTTTCGACGGAAAGTTTCGGTCAGATTTAGAAAAATTCTGTCAAAATTCATAAGACGATGATGCTAACTCTTTTTTTTTTTTTTTTTTTTTTTTTCTCTCTCTCTCTTCTTTTTTTCTTGTAATTCTGCCAAATGTTCCACACGCACTACACACAACCACCATTTGCATTCTGGAGAACTGGGGAGTACGCCATTGCTAATTTCCCAAGGGATGGTCGCCTAGGACCAGTAACAGCATCCTCGGTCGCGGTATCATCGCCGCTCTCAGCTTCTTCTCCTTCCCTTTTTTGGACGCACTACCACTTCCCCTTCATGCCCCCCCCCTTCATGCACTTCCCCTTCATGCCCCTCCCCCGCCCTCCCTTCCCACACCCTCTCTTCCGAAACTTGTGGCCGAAATTTTGCACCAAAAGCGGGAAACCCAATTTTTATGATGTCGACGGAAAGTTTCTACAGAAAGTTTTGAAAACGAAACTTTTGCCCAAAAAAATCAAAAAAATTGGCGAAATTTTGAACCTTGCAACACACACACATGCGCGTGCACTCACACACCCAGCCACCCGCCCACACCCGCCTACCCACCCGCCCATCCACCCGCACCCACCACGTAGAGTGTGTCGGCGTGAAAGAGGTCCCCTGCACCTACTTTCACCGCTCTCATGTCCGTTTGATTCACTCCGATGAAGATGTGCCCGATGCTGTCGTACAGGCCCCACTGCATGCAAACAGGGGATAGGGAGAGGGCGAGGGCCATGGCGCTCATCAGCTCACTCCAATACAGATTTGCCCGATGCTGTCGTACAGGTCCCACTGCACGTAGTGGGGAGGGAGAGGGGGGAACGTACAAGAATAAATACTGACGAAGATGTGCCCGAAGCCGTCATACAGGCTCCACTGCATGCAAATAAGGGAGGGGGGGAACAAGTAAAAATAAAAGACGACAAATATGTGCCCAATATTTCCGAAAGAGCTCCTAAGGTGGTGGCGGTGACGCCACGGAGGGATATCAGCGGGAGTGGAAGGTGGGGGGGACGTGTTTGAAGGTGGTGTCTCAAAGTGTGGCGGAGGAAAGAGAGCTGCCCTTCCGTGCTCGCCCACAGCTTGCCGCACACTGGGGGCAGGGGGAAGAGCTCCTGCAGTGGTGCAGTGAAGCGAATAAGGGATGAGAGGGATGGAGAGGGATGGAGAGGCGAACCGGAGAAAAGAAGCGTTAGAACATGCGACTTCAAGTGTGTTAAGAGAAGGAAAAACGCTATCTAGAAGGGCCACCACACACCTGCAGGGCCACCACACACTGCAGGGCCACCAGGCACCTGCAGGGCCACCAGGCACCTGCAGGGCCACCAGGCACCTGCAGGGCCACCACACACCTGCAGGGTCACCACACACCTGCAGGGCCACCAGGCACCTGCAGGGCCACCAGGCACCTGCAGGGCCACCACACACCTGCAGGGCCACTGCGTACACACAAGAGAGGAGGACGCAAAGCCATAAATCACTCCAACAAAGATTTCTTGTGCTGTTGGGCCCAACACAGATGAGTTGAGTAGTGGATCCAGTGCACACAAGTAGGGGAGAGTAAAAGGGTATTTTTGAGGCGCCTCAAAAAAGACTCCCAACGCTGTTGAGTTGGGTCCACTGCACAAACAGGAGAGGGCAAGAGACGCAGAGCTCATTGCTTGAATCCGCAACACATATCGAGGCGGAGATAGAGGGAGAAGGGAAGGGAGAGGGAAGAGGGGGAGAACAAGGAAAGAGAATGGTTAAAGTTGCAGCAGGAGCAGCATCGTAGCAGCAGGAGCAGCATCGTAGCAGCAGCTACTACCGCAGCACAGACCCGCCCACGCTCCTGCAAGCACTCAGGCATGATGGGGACGCCCGTGAGACTCCAACACACAGCCGCAGCCACGAAGAACGCGACGAGGGGATGGCCGCCACGAGGAAGTGGTAGGTTTGCCAGTAGGGACCACACGGCAGCGGGTTCACAACTGGTCTCTCAACCCACCTGTGGAGCACACAGTAACAGCTCCACAACAAATCTCAGCCCACCTGGAAGCGCTCTGCAAAGATAGGAATATCCCTGAGGCCGGGAAGCGCAGCAGCAGCCAGGAAGAACGAGGGGATGGCCTCCACGAGGAAGTGGTAGAAGTTGCCGCCCTGCGTGTAGCCCCAGTCGAATGCTACCTTGATGCGATGCACCTTCTGACCCTGGGGGTAGGAGTACTGGATGGTGGAGGGAGGGAGTAAGGAAGGGGGAGAAGGGGAGAGTGTGAGTGGAGTGCCTCCATGAGGAGGAAGTGGTAGAATTTGGCGCCCTGCCCTGCGTGTAGCCCCAGTCGAATGCTAGCTTGATGTGATGCACCTTCTGACCCTGGGGGTAGGCGTACTGGATTGTTGAGGGGGGGGGAGGGGGGGGAGAAGGGGAGAAATGCAACGGGAAGGAAGCATGTGAAGGGATGGGCTCTACGAGGAAGTGGTAGAAGTTGCCACCCTGCATGTAGCCAAAGTCAAAGGCTAGCTCGATGTGATGCACCTTCTGAACCTGGGGGTAGGCGTGCACTGGATGGTTGAGGAGAGGAGTGGGGAAGGGGGAAAAGGGGAGAGTGTGAGTGGAGCGCCTCCCCGAGGAAGTGGTAGAAGTTGGCGCCCTGCCCTGCGAGTATTCCCAGTCGAAGGCTAGCTCGATGCAATGCACCTTCTGACCCTGGGGTAAGGCGTGGTGGTGGTTGGAGCCTGGGAACGAGGGGTGTGGAAAGGGGGTTGGGGAGAAAGCTTTTGAATCGACACAAAAGCCTAGAAAATGTCGAGGTAGAGCATTCAACTACCCTTTGTGCGTAATCTGGTCACGATCAATCACAGACATTTCAGCAAACCCCTGGGCTGGGTGTCATTGCAAAATTTCCACGCCACGTGCTCTTCTGGACAAGACTTCGCACGAAACCTTGGAAGTCTCGCGCGAAGAACGAGTTGTTTTCAGTGCACTCTTTCCAATCTGCCAAGCAACAAGTGTCTTATCAACACAAAAACCGTGTGTAATGAGTCTGCTTTTGAGTCGACTCAAATGCAGGGGGGTGGGGGGGATGGGGCGGTGGGGAGGGATGGTGGGTGGGGGGATGGGGCAGTGGGGAGGGATGGTGGGGGGATGGCCGCCAGGAGGAAGTTTAGTGCTAGGAGTTACACACACTCACATTGCAATGGCGTACTCACTGTAATCCATGAGGAAACAAGGCCCTCACCAGGAGTTTTGCACTGACTAGGAATCTTGCATTCACCAGGGGTTTTGCACTCACCAGAGGTTTTGCACTCACCAGAGGTTTTGCACCCTCTCACCTCTAAAACACATTATTTGACTCACCTTGTCAAAGCGCTCGCAGCCCTGGTGTGGTGTGCACGACACTGTGAGAGGCCTTGAAGACAAAGCCCTTGCGAGAGGCTGCACTAACCAGGTGCACTTCCTACAAGTGGAAACACCGCTGCTCACACTGACTTACCTAGACAGCGCCCTTGTGGGAGGCTGCATGCAACACAACGACTTACCTTTTCAAAGCGCTTGCAGCAGTAAAGGGTAGATTCGACCGCGGCTGCCAACGGATCTTAGCTTGTAAGAGAAAATTCTAAGAGTGTGAGTGACTAGCAAGGATTGGGCGAAAGAGGACGTGATAGTCCACCAATTACTGAGCATACGCGCGTTTCGGCACAGGGCCTTCGTCAGCGCCCTTGTGGGAGGCTGCATGCAACACAACGACTTGCCTTTTCAAAGCGCTTGCAGCCCTGGTGCACAAAGCGGTGAGAGGCGTTGAAGACAAAGCCCTTGTGGGAAACCATGACGTCATGCAGACGAAATACCTGCATCGGTGCATGCATGGTGGCGGCGGTGGTGGTGGTGGTGGTGGTGGTGGTGGTGGTGGTGGTGGTGGTGGTGGTGGTGGTGGTGGTGTGCAAATGGCATGGTGGTGTGCAAATGGCATGGTGGTGTGCAAATGGCATGGTGGTGTGCAAATGGCATGGTGGTGTGCAAATGGCATGGTGGTGTGCAAATGGCATGGTGGTGTGCAAATGGCATGGTGGTGTGCAAATGGCATGGTGGTGTGCAAATGGCATGGTGGTGTGCAAATGGCATGGTGGTGTGCAAATGGCGTGGAGGTGTACACAGAGAGAAAGTACGGCGATACACTATGGCATGTATACAAAAGCGCACCACATTCTACGCAAGCCTTCCTAGGCCCGGAAACACCCGGCACGGGCCACCTATCCCTGAAACTCAGTCCGACCTTCGGCGACCCGACCCTGGCCTCGGCCCAGCCCGGCTCAGCCCGCCCCCGGGCCAAGGCCGGCCCGACCCCGAAACCCGGGCATGGGCCAGGGCGTTCCCAAGGCCGGCCCGACCTTGGCCCCGCCCCGCCCCATCATAAGCCAGGCCGACCAGAATCGGGCCGGGCCGGACCGGGCCTATGCTCATGCCTAGCCCCACGCATCTGCATCGCTGATGGCTCTCGGAAGTCCCGCGGGTGCAAGCTCGTCTCGTTGCGGTACTGCCACACACGTCCAGTATCAAACACAACAAGCCCTAACCCCCGAACCGCGCACGCGCGCGCGCACACACACACCTGCACACACGCACGCACGCACACACACCTGCACACACGCACGCACACACACCTGCACACACGCACGCACACACACCTGCACACACGCACGAACACACACCTGCACACACGCACGCACACACACCTGCACACACGCACGCACACACACCTGCACACACGCACGCACACACACGCACACACACGCACACACACACACACGCACACAAACGCACACACACATGCACGCACACACGCCTGCACACACGCGCACGCACACACACGCACACACACACGCACGCACACACACCTGCACACACGCACGCACACACGCACGCACACACACCTGCACACACGCACGCACACACGCACGCACACACACCTGCACACACGCACACACACACACCTGCACACAAGCACGCACACACACCTGCACACACGCACGCACACACACCTGCACACACGCACGCACATACACATGCACACAAGCACACACACACGCACACATACCTGCATCGCTGACGGCTCCCTCGGGTTGAAATCTCGCGGGTGCGAGCATGTCCTGTCGAGGTTCTGCCACGCAAATCGCTGTTTCTTCAGGGTGAACGTCTTGGGGCAGTTGAGAGGCGCGCGGGCCGGCAGCAGCAGGGGGGCGTCGAGCTCCGCGTTCCAGCAGGCGTCCACGTTGGGGTAGGCGGGGCCGCAGGGCGAGAAGCTGGGACAGGCGGGGCCGTGGCACTGAATGAGGTCGCCGAATCTGAGGGAAGGAGGACGGGGGGGAGGGGGGGAAAGGGGGAAAGGGGGAAAGAGGGACGGAGGGGGGGGGGGATTTTTTTCCTAGCTGAACATCTTGAGGGGCCACTTGAGAGGCAAGCGAGCAGGTACTACCGTACTAGTGGTGCAAGGGCTGAACAACTTAAGTTGGGGTAGACGGGGATGCAGTTGGGGTAGATGGGGATGCAGTTGGGGTAGACGGGGATGCAGTTGGGGTAGATGGGGATGCAGTTGGGGTAGACGGGGATGCAGTTGGGGTAGATGGGGATGCAGTTGGGGTAGATGGGGATGCAGTTGGGGTAGATGGGGATGCAGTTGGGGTAGATGGGGATGCAGTTGGGGTAGATGGGGATGCAGTTGGGGTAGATGGGGATGCGGGGGGAGAAGGCGGGGCAATAGAGGCCATGGCCCAGTGGCACTGATTCAAGCAGCCGAATCTGGTTGTTTTACCACGGAGCACGCACTAGCAACGCTCTGCAAGTGGAACCAAGAACTAACAGTTAGTTCATGGGCTCCATTACATTAAGCTGCCGTCGTCAGTTCATGAACTAATGGCCGTTAGTTCATGATTAATAAAATGTTAATCAACAGTTAGCTCATGGGTTCCACTCGCTGAGCGGAAACTCGTGCAGCTGATTGCTCTCCCTATAAATCCTTTACCCAAAGATTTACTCATTAGGGTGTTTCGCTGCATCGAAACACTGCAGCACCCTCCCACGGCATGATCATCACCATCGTTATCTTCCAACGCACCCTTTTTCCTCCTCACGCCAACAATCCGCAGGAGCTTACACTCGAGGACTGCTCGGGTTTGTCACCTATATCTGTAACGATCAGGCAGCTCCCGAAACCACGTGTTCCACGTTAGGGGTTGCAACGAGCTGCTCTCCCTCCCTGACGCTCTCTTCAGTTGTATCTCGTTGGATTTTTTTTAGCTCTCCATGCAGAATTTGGCGAAGCTGCTAGAGAACATGTCGCAGCTGCACAGCCTGCACCACCTCATGGTGCACTGCCACTCAGCTCACGAACAGCCAGCGTCCCTCACGCAAATGTCCTCCCACCACGAATTAGATTAGGTCGTGCGCCATCTTCCGCAGCTGTCGAAAGACTTGGGGAATCTGACCAATCTGCGAAGCCTGGAGCTGAGTGGATGCCCTAGTCTCAATCACATGCACTTCTCTGCCGCTGCTCTCCATTCTTCAACGCCTTGTGATCTCTGAAGGTTGTTAGAAGATTTCTGTGGCAGACAGAATAAGTCAATTGCTTTCACTCAGGGAGCCTCATTTCTCTAATTTTAGTAGTCTCCGGCGCCATCCCGATTTCATTGGCCAGCTATAGCCGAGGTAGCTATAGCAGGTGGCTGATGGAATCGGGATGGCGCTGGAGACTGCTGAAATTGGAGAGATGACCTCCTTGAGTGCAGGCAGCTAGCCAATTATGTCTGGCACAGAAACCTTCTGACAACCTTCGGAGGACACAAGGTGTTGAAAAGGGAGAGCTGCGGCACAGGGGAGAGCAAGAAAGTGAGCTCAGGGCATGCACTCAGCTCCAAGGTTCGCAGACTGGACAGATTCCCCAAATCTCCCTGGAACTGCCAAAGGCGGCGCACGCCCAAATCCAATTCGTGGAGGGAGAACAGCTGCGCTGCGTGAAGGACGCTCGCAGCTCGTGAGCCGAGTGATTGTGCACCATGAGGCGATGCAGGCTGTTGCACGACGTTCTCTAGCAGCCTTGCCAGGTTCGGCATGGATAACTCTAGAGATTCCAACGAGATGCAGCTGAAGCGAGCGTCAGGGGAGGAGAGCAGCCCGCTGCAACCCCTGGCGTGGAACACATGGTCTCGGGTTTTGCCTGATTGTCTCAAGTACAAGTGACAAACCCAAGCAGTCCTCGAGCATCAGCTCCTGCAGATTGGTGAGGTCGCCAAAGCTGCTGGAAAGCACCGTCAGACAAGGTGCTTTCAAGTGAAGGGTTCTTAAAGCTTGCAGAGCATCGATTTCTTCCAGCCGGCTGACAATGCTCACTTAAAACATCTGGAAATGTTCGAATTCAGTTAGATCGGAGATGCTTGCAGGAAACTCGGTGACGGTGGGCGAGCACGCAAGGTAGAGGTCCTCCAGCCGCGTGCACATCTGAAAGAGCGATTCGAGCCAGTCAACCATCTAGACGTGATACCTGAAACGAACCACTGCAACGTGATAAATGACGGCTTCGGTATGATAGGAAAAAGAAATCCACGTAGGGGAACCTAGGCTCTCGGTCTCCCTCCCTCCCCCCCTCCCCCCCTCCCCCCTTCCCCCCCCCTCTCCCCCTCTCCCCCCCTTCCGCCCTTCCTCCCTCCCTCCCTTTTTTCTGATGGTCCTTCTGACGAGTTTCTCTCAGGGTTTTAGGTTTGAGATTTCCCTCTTTCTCGGAATGCTAGCGTGGCGTTCCTCTACTAACTGTTGTTGATGGGCAAGCTAGCATCCTAAGAACCACAACTCCCCCCCCCTCTTCCCCCCACGCCCCCTTACTTGCCAAACCGCTCTTGGAATGCCAGTGTGGCATTCCTTGGCTCATTGTCATCAGCGCCGTGTGGAAGCACGTCCAGCCTTTTCCCATTCCGCCCCCCCCCCCCACCCCCTTTTCCCTTTCCCCCGTCCCCTCCCCGTCCCTCCCCTCACCCCCACTCACTTGTCAAACCGCTCTCGGAATGCGAGCATGACGTTCTTCTGCTCACTGCTATCGATGGCGTGAGGAAGGGCCTCCAGAGGTAGCTGCAAGCGCTCGGGACTCATTCTGGGGGGGATCAGAGGCCCAGGCACAGCGAGGGGAGTGGTGAAGCGGGAATCATGCTAGGATCAGGGCAGGGGTGCCAGCGACACATGTTCTTTCTCAAAAGGAACCAGAAAGAGTGCAACATAGACTCACCGAATGCCTCCTGGAATGCTGCTGTCATGGACGTCAGGGACTCAGGCTCCCTCTCGAATTCACCTAGAAAGGAGTGCACAACAGACAGACTCACCGAAAGGCCCCTGGAATGCTGTTATCAAGGGCGTCAGGGACAACCCCCTCCGGCACAATTCCTCCATGGTCCACTCCTTGCCTCTCCTCACCTCGCCCCATCCCCCCCCCACCACGCATTTCCAATCCGCCTGATGGCAAAAGCCCTCGCTGATCCGATCCCTCTGAGAGCAGAACTTGGCCCGAGGCTTCTGAAGGCAGTGGCTGGGTTGACCCATCAGAGGGCGGCAGCTGGTGGTGCAGCTGCTGCTGCAGCTGGCCCACTCGGCCTAGCAGCGGCCCTGTGTGCTGCACCTCAGCTGGCTCTGCGGGGTTGAAGGGGAAGAGAGGGGACGGATTCACTTCTTTTCAGTTGGCGAAAAAGCAGCTCGCTCACTCGGCATAGCAGCGGCCCTGTGCGCTCCAGTTCAGCTGATTCTGCAGGGTTGGAGGAGAAGGCACGGAGTGGTTATGTTTGAGTCAATTTGACGAAACAAGATGCGTTGAAGTGGATTTGAATCATTGCTACATAAATTTCTCTGTTGTAATTCAGAGGCATGATTTGAGGGGTAGGGTGGCTCAGGTTTCCGCCCAGGCAAAAGCCAGACCCACGCTTAAAAAAAAAAGAAGCAAACTTGCTGGAGAGGTCACAGAGCAAGGGGTAAAAGAGACGCTCGGAAAGACTCAAGCCGATAAGAGTGTGCTCACCTGCTCGGGTGACCGTAACGAGGGCGGCCACGTGGCAAGCCGCCAGCAGAGAGCAGCACAGAATGCGTGCTGCGCGCCACCCGACTCCCGCGCTCCTTCTACGCAGAATGACATTGCAGTCTTTTTTCACAGCCTTTTTGTGATTTCTCTCCCGCCCTCGCAATACTCCTCTCCTTTTGCGTCCCGATTCCCTCGTTACAGGAACGTAGACAGCATTCTCCAGCGTTACGAGCATTTTAAAAGAATCGGTCACGAAATAATTGATATTCCGAGGCTACTCGGAAAACGATCACCTGAGGCTATTCCGTCCTAACGACTTCCATCCACGCATTCTCGGCCCTGCATACTTTGCCCTGTCTAGAAAACGTCCAGTCTTGTGTACGACTATAACGTCGTGCATGTGAAAATTCTGTAGCGCGTATGAATGTGAAATCACCCCTACGACCATACAACCACTAGGAACATACTATCTTGCCTCTGTCAAAGCCAACCAGGCATGGTGCTGACTGAATCGGTCCTGCTAATGACATACGGTCTAGAATTGTCTTAGAGCATTCCGCGCGACTCTCGCCTATGAAACATGAGCAGCCGCCGACTGAACTGAGAAGAGCATTGAACGCCGGGCACATGAGATAATAATTCGGCACACGCCCGATCTGAATCCAGCAGTGGGTATCGAGACAGTCAGAATGCATAGAGTGCCTGAACAGCTACTTAGCTAGTCGCACTGCGTTAGACAAAACCTCAGAATACCTCGACAGCATTCCCTAGCATGTTGGACTAAACGGCAGAACGTTATGGCTACTTGCAACTGCCACACCAGCTTTTGCTCCTCATGCAGCTGGTCACATTCACAAGTTCACCGACATCGCATGTCAACAAACTGTTGGTCTATATGTACGGTGCAGAGCGGTTCCACGTTTACCTTTCGCGTTGATGTTCGATTTATTTAGTTTCGACGGGGTGGGTCAATCAGATGTTTCTAATACTAAGAAAGCGCGAAGAAAGCCTGTCCAACATAAGCGCGCCAATAACAACGGCAAAACAGACGAAACGATGACGACCAGCCAGACAATAACATTTGGCACATCAAACCCAAGGCGAAAGAGATACCAGCGACACCAAAACATTCGCGACATCAACCCTATGTTACGCGTGCAAATAAAGCAAACACGACCAAACACTACGAAACGAGCTGACAAAAGAATTGCATGCGGGTACCAATGCGAAGCCAACACTAAAGATAGTGACCTGAGTAGTGCCATTATGTGATGAGGCCTGTACTACCGAAGGGCCATGCACTGTAGACATACTGTACCAGTGACTTGGGTAAAGCCATCATTGGAATGAGGTCTCGCATGAGACAATACATGTGATCCTGTTGCTGGGGAAAGGGATGGCAGGAGAAATTTGAGGGTTGAAGAGAAGGGAGAAGAGGGTGGTTGACTAGCGAGTAGCCTAGAAATTTTAGAGATGAGCAACGATACGAAAGCAAGGTGGAAAAGGTCAACCAAACAGCAGGACGGAAGAGTCGAGAGCTGTAAGGAAGTAGCATGTGCCTAGATATTCATCAACAGAAAGGTGTTAAGACTAGAAAGAATGAATAGAAGAAGGGAGAACAAGGGAGATATAGCGTTTGGGTTGTACCCACTAAGAACATACCCTATCTAGTCTATAACTTCTATATAACAATATATGTATAAGTTGATACACCCCCTAGGCTAGATAAGGGGTAGTGCTGAGCAAGAAACACGCAGCTCAGGGTGGCACTACTAGTCCAACCACTGGAGGAAAAGCCACAAGGCCAATCTGCGAGGTATAAATAGAAAGGAGTATACAATCAAGGGCCTAGCAAGTGAGAGTCAACAGGGACTAGACCTAACTGCAAGCAGTGCCGCTGATGATCTCTAGGCGGAAGCGCCTTAGTAAAGATATCAACTGTGTTGGCACCCGAGGCCAAGTGTACTGCTCGGGCCTAGCGACACTGCCGAAGCTCGCGCAGGAGGAAGTACCGCAGATGGATGTGCTTCGCTCTGCCCTCAAAACAAGGCTCCTGACACAGGAGGATCATGGCCCTGTTGTCAGCGTACAGAACCGGGGCACAGCTAGGCCGCTCACCTAAGTCGGCAAGCAAGAAGGTCAGTGCCGCCATGGCACCGGCGTAGATCTCAGCCTCGCAGCTAGACTGAGCAACAGACGAGAAGCGAGTGGACCTCCACGAGATGGCACCAGAACCAAGGCTGAAGCAGTAGCCCTGGGAGGACCGGAGGGTCTCAGAGTCGTCTGCCCAAGAAGCGTCTGTGTGCCCAGTAAGGACCACTGGCCTGCGTCCTCCCAGCACTAGCCCCATGCCCGATGTACTTGCAAGATAACACAAAACCCTCTTAGCGGCTGACCAGTACAGTGGTCGGTGTCGGCATGTGGCCACAAAGAGGGCCAGGATGCTGAGAGGTTATGCGAGATCTGGGCGAGTGCAAGTCATCAGGTACATGAGGCAACCCACCAGTTCTGCGTAAGGACCACTGGGCTGTGCTGACTCCTCGGGAACTGGAGCTGACAGCCTGTGGTCTACCGGCAGAGGTGTGGGCTGTGCGGAGGAGAACTGAAGACCGAACCTCTGAAGGACCTGGCACCCCAAGTGTGAATGTGTGAGAGTGATGGTACGCGCTGCTCTGTCCCTAGAGATCTGCAGGCCAAGGTAGCGGCGCAGCTCTCCCAGGTCAGTGCAGATGTGTCGCCTCAGCAGCTCAGCCTTCACGAAGGCCAGCGCGTCTCTGTCTGCAGTAGCAAAGACCAGGTCGTCTACGTAGACCAGGATGTATAACGTAGTATGGCCAGCAAGAACGAAGAGCGAAGGGTCAGCAGACGACAGAAAGAACTGCAGGTCAGCTAGCGTGGCACGCAGCATGTCGTGCCACTCACGGGGCACCTGTCGCAAGCCGTAGACGGGGCGCCGGAGGAGCCACTGGGTCCTAGGAGGGAAAGTACAGGTGAAGCCCTAAGTGCGGCGCAGGTAGACCTGCTCGTGTAGGCTGCCCTGAAGGAAAGCAGTGGAGAAGTCGAGGGAGTGAAGCTCGTAGTCACATTGTGCTACTACATGTAGCAGCGCCCGAAGAGTAGTCATCTTCGGGGTCGGAGCGAAGGTCTGAAAGAAGTCCACCCCCTCACGCTGACTGAAGCCTCTAGCCACGTAGCGCGCCTTAAACACAGACGACTCTCTGGGGGGGCTCCTCACCTTGAAGAGCCACCGGCAATTGATTACGTTCACCCCATGTAGGGGAACTGCGTCAACGTAGGTGCCGGTAGCTCTCCAAGATGCCATCTCTTGCTCCATGGTAGCTATCCACTAAGAGGCCCAGGATCCCGTGGTCGCCTCAGCGTAGGTGCGAGGGGTTGGGATGTCAAAGGCGTCGGGGTCACCCTCAGGGACTAGCAGCATGGAACAGAGATAGACCCCGACGCAGTGATGTCTTGGAGGACCGGCAGAGCTTGCTTTCCTGGCAGAGGCACGAACGTGAGCAAGACAGCTCCAGACGTGGAACAGAGACACGTCACCAGGGAACCTGTTTCAAAGAAGGGTCGGCGAAACCTGCGGCCGATGAGAGCGAGGCCAGAGGTTAAGCTGGTGAGCGGCGTAGCGAACGGCGAACGGCCACAGAAAATGGGGTGCACCAGCATGGATCATGGAGGTACGAGCCACCTCCATGACCAAACCGATGCGTCGCTCAGCGACCCCATTCTGCTGCGGGGAGTCCGGTAGGGTGTACGTCTGGGTGATTTCCTCCGCACGACAGAACTGACCCAGCCGACCAGAGGTGAACTCGCCGCCACGGTCAGAGTGGAGACACAGCACAAGGAGACCGCGGTGGAGGCGCGCAGCGACGAGCCACGGGATAAGAACGTCAGGCACATCGGCCTTCTGCTCCAGGGGAAGCACCGTGGTGTAGCGCGTGAAGTCGTCAATGAGCACCAGAAAGTAGCGCTCGCGACGCGGTCCAGGGACAGGGGCTGGGCCCCGGACGTCCAAGTGCAGGGTCTGAAGGGGTGCAGTGGCAGGGCGAAGTGAGGAGGAGTGAGGAGCACGGCGTAGCCGGCCCTCGACGCAGGGTGTGCACGGCGGCGCAGGCGAGGGAGGGAGAGCAGGGAGCGACGCAGGGAGGCCGAGGACTAGACCGTGCTGAGACATGTGACGCAGGCGGGGGAGCGCGGGGTGACCTAGGCAGTGGTGCCACAACAGTGAGGGGTGAGTGAGCGACCGACACGAGCAGGCCGCAGCTACCTGGGTGGATGCATAACTGGAGGAGGACTCGCCCATCGGGGGGGGAGCAGTGTCCAGCGTAAACAGGCTAGACACAGGGTCCCGGGGGAACGTCGCAAGAGGCGGCCTCGGAACAGACCGCGTAGCACTCGTGACCAGGGAACGTAGTGGTGACGCCAAGGTCCTGAAGATAGCCGACACCAACTAAGTTCCTGGAGAACGAAGGGATGTGCAAGCCTTTAAGGGAACCCGAGAGAACCGCCGGACAGGGAAGGGTAGTGTAGCTGTGAGCAACTACAAGACCAGAGGAGGGGTCCACAAGGGCGACAGCGCAAGCGGCGTGAGGGCGGCGTGGTCGCGGAAGAAATAGGCTGACGCACCGGAGTTTAGAGTGAAGGACAGCGCCACCCTAGTGGCCGACGAGAGAGGAGCAAGGATAGAGCCTAGGCTGGACAAAGCAAGCTGTCCTACGCTTGACGCAGCAGGGGACTCTGGACTACTCACAGGTGCAACGCCTAAGCTAGAGAACACAGAATAATACGATCCGGAAACACTCGAAGCATCAGCATACAGAGAATGCAAGGCAAAAGTAATATGATCCATGTCTAAGTCAAACACAGGCACATCGTGGCGCAGCAGGCTGGGCCAGTTAGGGAGGTTCGGGGCGGGACCAAAGCGGCGACGGAAGAGGTCGTCGAGGCGGCGGAAGCAGTGGGCGGTGGGGTGCACGCGGCGGCACACCGTGCCACGCAGGGGCCCGGTCCGAAGCTGGTACTGGCAGCTCACAGCACCGAAGCTGCCGGTGGACGCCGAGCTGCGAGGGCCACCACCACGACCACCACCGCCAAGTACTCCTGGCCACCCGGGCGGGAGACGAGCCCACAGCTGCTGCTGCTGCTGCTGTTGTGACGGCTGCTGCTGCTACGGCGGTTGCGACTGCGGCGACTGCTGCAGCTCCTGGGCACTAGCACCAACCCCCTTGTCAGAACCACTGTCCCCGCCACCACCACCACTAGCGCCACCTCCACGTCCTCCCTTGGGGCCACGGCGGCCCCGGCGCTGGCGCTGCTGCGGGTACGCCGCAGCTGCTATCTCAGGTGCAGGCGCAGTCGTGGCAACTGCGGCGGAGACGTCAGCGTACGTGCACTGGGAGGGGGCACAGCCCTGAAAGATAGGGACTGCCGCAACACCGCTCGACTGAGCGATAGTGCGCTGGCGAGTCTCTATCTTAGATAGAGTAGTGACAAAGGCGGCTAGGGTGAGGTCGGCAAGGTGCTGACTAAGGAAGTGGTCGCGGGCAGTGGCTAAGCGGTCAGGCAGGCGCATGGCGATGAGGTACAGGGTAGCGCAGAAAGGTGGGGGGAAGGCAGTAAGCTTGGCGGCAGAGCTAGCAGCACGGTAGCTGGTCTCTAGTGCACGGAGGTGAGTAGCGAGGTCAGCTACCATAGGGAAAACAGAAAGATCAGGGAAGAGCATGGGTAGGATCAAGTGGCCAGCAGAGGCGGAAGCAGATGTGGAGTAACGCTCAACTACC